GACCAGAAAAACTAAAGCAGATAGACAAAAGAAACTTGTGCAGTGTGCACACGCATGGGTCAGAACCTGGCCTGACCCAGTAAGGTGGCTATTGTTAAATGCAGGGTGCAGGGATAGGCTTATTGTATTGAGGGCTTGTATAACTCTAAAGGTTTTTTAGTATTTGTAGGGTACTGTATGTAAAGTTTAAAGCTAAAATGAAACATCTAAAATATCTACCTTATATGTACAAATACTTAAAACATGACTTGGCCACAATATGAAGTGGTATTTAGATAGATATAATACTAGTCAATATATGTAAACACGTTTGAAGATACATCTGTGAGGTTTTAGGTGTTTTTAACGGCCCGGTCGGAGAAGTCGGAGAAAAGACATGTGACAGAGATTTTCTTAAGAAAATGAAATACAATGGCTGTACTTTAAAGGGCCAGTTCTCTTTAAATGCGATGTACTGTTGCACTAGGAAGTGGCATATAGGTAAATATAATAACATCCTATATTTGTAAACACATATGATGATACTCCGTGAGGTTTTAGATATGTTTAACGACCCGGGCCAAGTTGGAGAAAAGACATGTGACAGAGATTGTCTTAGGAAAATGAAATACAATGGCTTAGCTTCAACATACCAGTTTTCTCTAAATTCGATTTGCTGTTGCACTAAAAGTGCTATTTAGGTATATATAATACCATCCTATAGATGTAAACACCTTTGATGATACACATGTAAGGTTTAAATTGATTTTGACTGCCCGGGCCAAGTCGGACCGAACATTTGTGAGACTGTGTTTAGGGTATGGGAAAATGAGATTCACTTTAACCAACGTGTCTGCTTTAAATACGACGAACAGTGCCATTTGTAAAGTGGTATTTACTTAGATATAGTACCATGCTATAGATGTAAGTGCGATGCCGGACAGATGGACATTTTTATCACAATAGTTATTGGATACGTTTCAAATCATATTTCATTTAACGATTCCGTTTTTACATGTAACCTAATTCGGCCACGCTCACAGACAGCTTGTGTTCCTGATTGTCAAGCGATTAACTTGTAAATGCGTTAAGATGATTTTGCATTCCGTAATTAGAACGATGTTCTAGTGTAAGCGTAGTGTATATTAACTATGTTAACTCTCTCTCTCTCTCCTTCTCTCTCTCTTTTCTGAGATTGAAAAAATTCAGCAAATCCCTTAAATTTTTAAAAACTCACGTAATATTAATTCCACTTGTCTCAAATAAATTTCTTTTAATACAAAAAAAACGGTCTTCCTTGATTGTATGAAGGATTGTGGTTTTTAGACAGTGATTTTGTGCTACATTTGCTGGACAAAGCGAGCAAGCGACAGTACATTACGATCGCACCCAATGTTCAATGCCTCGAGATTGTCCTGTATTGGGGCTTTATGGAAGTATATGTTGGTCGATCGATCTACAATTCAGGTGCATGTGCCCACATAGGGAAGGAACGTGCTAAATCCAATCTTATGTCCTCTACCGTGATTCAAATTGACAAGGCTAAACATAATACATATCGTAAGTGAATAAAATGAATCATATTAAAATATTTTCTCATGTGACTCTCTGACGTGTAGTGTATATTTACACCTCTTGTGTTTGCATGTATTAAATGCGCTATTAATGTGGAACGTATTTATGAAGTCAGTTCAATAACACATTACCTATTGGTTAGGATAGTGTAATGACAACGAGCACAGACGATCAGATGAAAAACACCTAAAGCTTGAATGAAGTGTTTTCTCTCTATTGGTTGAGTCCAATCCATTCTAAATCCAAGCTCCTAAATAGGTTCGGTATTGGGGAAGAGCAATAAAACAAGTTTGCATCCATAAATGCTCTTCCTTACGTGTTTCACTTCTTCCTGACATTTGACGCTTGGCATTAGTATGATATGCCTATCTGTACTAGTTGTTTGTCGATTGTTGCACCAGTGGAGTGTCAAGGGTTGATGGTCTGAGGTGAAGTGAGGTGAGGTGAGGTGAGGTGAGGTGAGGTGAGGTGAGGTGAGGTGAGGTGAGCCTGTGTGAGTTTGTGTGTGAATCTGTTTATGTGCATATGTGTGTTTATGTGTATTTGTGTGTTTGTATCTGCCTATGTGTGTATGACTGTGTTTGTGTGTACATATTTGTAGGTGTCTCTCTCTCTCTATGTTTCTCCCTCTCTCTCTCTCTCTCTCTCTCTCTCTCTCTCTGTGTGTGAGAGAGAATGTATGAATGTTACGTGTTTGTGTCTGTGCTTGTGTGTCTTTTTGCTTCATGTGTGTCTTTGTGCTTATTTGTCTGTGTGTATGTTGGTACATGTGTGACGTGTGTGTGTGTGTGTGGTTGTGTCTGTGGTTGTGTGTGTGTGTGTGTGTGTGTGTGTGTGTGTGTGTGTGTGTGTGTGTGTGTGTGTGTGTGTGTGTGTGTGTGTTATTACGAGGGTTAGTGAAACGAATTCATTGTTCATTGCCATTTATATTGGTCATAAATGCTTCTATTTTAATTGTTGTTTTGAATAATATATAGATAGTGTAAATTGTATTGACACCAGTTTGACAATCGTATCAGCTGGTGTATATTTTTCCTTCTCACATTTCGACTATGAACATGTGTGTTGACTTTCCTGTGTACATTTGACAACCTACAAAGACCCTTTATACTGGAAGGGTAGGATTAAAATTGGGCATTACAAATTGCAATATCTGAAACTATTGTCAAAGACTGACTTCAATTTTATATAATTTACGTTGCCTATGTACACATTGAACAATATACGTCGTATGTGTGTGAAGGGTACAGGGGGATACTAGAACCCTAACCATTCAAAATGAAACGGTTTTGTGTATTGATGTATTCTTATTTTATCTGAAGGGGTCGGGTAGCCTAGTGATTACAGCGTTCGCTCGTCACGCCGTAGACCCGGGTTCGATTCCCGACGTGTGAAGCCCATTTCTGGTGTCCCCCGCCGTGATATTGCCTAAATATTGCTAAAGGCGGCGTAAAACCAAACCAAACCAAACTCACTCACTTAATTTATCTGTGCAGAGTAACACCCTTCGCCATGCCAGTACCCACACATCGCCCTGACTACTTTCCTGAGTTGATAGCACCCTTCCTGTAGTCATTGTTGTCATCCACAATACAGACGGCATTGGCATATTGGGGTTTCTCCCGCTGTACGCTGCCACGGCGAGAGATGAAGTAGCCTTGGACGTTACGTACTCACCCATGCACTGCTTAATGTCTATATGACAATAAAACTGTTCACACCAGTTAAAACAAACACATTCTCTCAGTGATACCATAACATAAAAACGGATGGTATAGATAGATTTTGATTGAGTACTGATTGTTTAAACTGCATATTCTGTGAAGTAATAGTTGTAGAAGTGGTCTTCAGGATAGGAGCATAATCTAAAATACAGAATAATATACTCGTCAAATAAATGACATCCATGAACTGTGAAACGATGGCTACACGTGTATGATGGTTAAACCATTAGATTATAAAAAAAGATGATCGATGTTGTTTTATTAATTTTATTTTAAAGCACTATGACTATAACTATTGATTAATAATATATACAGTTATACTACAACCAGACCTGTCGAGAGTGGACAGTAAAACAACCAAAAACAGATATGATTATATAAAATAATACATTATAAAAAGGGCTATAGATAACCAAAAACCGAAGTTAGACCAGTATACTAGAAATTTGCGGTACTTCTGCTTACTGCATGGTATCCCTAGCAAAGTCTAAAACACAATGTTAAACACATACACGTATAGCGACATTCTACTGATTGTGGTAACGAAAGTATTGGTGTTTAAATTCGTTATCTAGTTCACTTTACAAAGGGAAAATGATGATTCTAACTACATTTCACTTTGGAAAAAAACACGAAGCCCACAGCAATATGATATATGATAAATGTTTGGAGAAATCATTATTATTTGAATTATTGATTCATTGCATGAAGAAACCTTTCCCTAAACCATGTTTTAAACATGCATGCATACGTTTGGAAATTACTGTTCTTCACACCAAGCATGGTTGTCATTTCAGAGATGAAAACAAACAACTAAAACACGGAATGTTAAAACATAATATGCATTGAGGACTGAAAAACATAGAGCCTCCCTTCAACTATGAAGAAATAATGATGGTCATGTTTATTGTCAGATAAGGATTTTGCGTGCATTCTGTATCATATGCGGTTACGTATACAATATATTTGCTGCATATCAAATGTCATAAGTATACATACAAACATGCTTAAAATTTCGTTTTTTCAAAATGTCCACTTTGGGAGTCATGTTTCAATTGTGATTGAAATTTCTGAGCACTATTTAGAAACACCATACCTGTCATTATTTATTCAAAGTTTCAGCTCCATGGGCATTGTACTTTCACAGGACATGTAAAAAAATGCAGGATCACTAGAAAAGCTGGCGTATATGAATATGAAAGGTTGCATAAAAAACAAATGTGCAATATGCTATGCTGCACTCGATTTATGTCCTTGCTGTACGTAATTGCTTCGTGTTAACATGGCGGAATAATGAGCAAACTATATATTTTGGGAGTCGGACCGGAATTCTGTGATTAGCTTTTTGAGATTAGATTTTGGCCTTGTAGTTTCTGAGGAGATTTCAAAATATAACGTTAACGACATACGTAAAACCAAACGGACAATCAGACAACATGCATCGTGCTACGACATTCAGGTGAGGTGAGGTGAAATTGGGTTTAACGTCGCGTCCAAGATGATTGCACTTATAAAGCGACGTGCATACACGTGTGGGTGTGGCTGCTTGTACCAGTCCGGACTGATGCCGATTTATAGTGCTAGCACACTGAGATACCATGCCGCAGTTTAACATGAATACCACACTCAGACACAGTATACTGGCCCCCGATCCGACCAGTCCTTGTTTTAGCCCCTTAATGCCGAGCCTCAGACAGGGAAACAACAAGTGCCATCTTTTAACGTATTTTGGTATGACGCGGCCGGGGATCGAACTCCGGACCTTCCGCTCTCCGGGCGGACGCTCTACCTCTAGACCACGGAGGCGGTCGCCACGTCATTCAGAGAGGTGAGATAAAATTAGCACACACTTCCATTCAATTGAAATAGTCATTACTGTTTCAACCCGTAAAGGTCCGGATTAGAATTGATCTTCAGCAAACCATGTTTGTTGTAAGAGGCGACTAACGGGGTCAGGTGGTCAGACTCGCTGACTTAGTTGATGCATGTCGTCGTATCCCAACTGCACAGATCGATTCTCATGGTGTCACTGGATTGTCTAGTCCACTACTCACAGACTGCCGTCATGTATCTGAAATCTTGCTGAATGCATGCCTTGTACCTTTAATATTGAACGCAGTGAGTTCGGATCCTTTCAAATATCTTCAATACTTTGTAACATCTGCACATGTTTGTGGTGTAACACTGTTTGAACAGTATTTCAGCTAAATAACTGCAATGTTGTCATGATTCAAGAAGTACAAAGTTATGCTGATCACTCGTTCACTTTAGTGAAAACACTATTGAGCTAAGGACACAACTATCCATATTTAGACTTGTGTGATTGGAACCCATGACCACAATAGCCTTGTGACTGCACAGCAAACTGATGGCTTCCAAACATGCCTGGCCCCATCCTTATGAAAGAATGTTGCATATCATGCTTCTGTTGTAGTGGCTTTTGTCTTTACTAGTACTGCTGCATATAGGTCATTCACTTGCTCTGTATTGTATTCTGTTGACGATGAAGCTGGTGTCTTGTAATCTCCTCTGACTGGAGTCACTGAAGCCGTCTGTCTCGGGGGTGGCTGACTGGATGCAGGTGCTTGGCTTTTCATGAGGCTTGCTGTGCGAGGAGATGGACCACCGATATCTACCACAGAAGCATATTCACTTCCCGTTGAACAATCCATGGTAACATAAGGCGTATCTAGACACTTAGTTATCTGTTTTTGCTTTTTGGCACAGCAACATGACACTTGTATGCTGATGATTATAATGAGAAGTATGCCCCCAGCAGCAACTGCAGTAATAGTGATGGGTGTCAGAATAACACTTGCTGTTGTGGTGGCCTGGTCCTGGGCCCGTGTTCCTGAAAGCACAAAACGGAATCAGCAGCTATTCAGGTTCCCCTTGCTATTCAGGTGTCTTGATCGTGCATGAAGATATCTCTTACGATGTCACACTGATACTGACTATGTGTTGTTTGGGGTGAAGTTTGAAAACAAATAGACAATCAGGACCTATAAGTACATTAATATTATAATAATCCTTCTTGGTTATCCCAGATTGATGACAGGTATATATGCTATATATGCGTGAAAAACTCAAGCTGAGAGAATAAACCAGAATGATCAGATGAACATGAGAGACACGTGAGCGTTTTCGAATCTAGATTTGAAACATTATATTTCATTCAATACCGAACGCTTCATATATGCAAACTAGAATTTACACCATAATACAATAGACAGTAACAGTGGCTTATGTCAATGTTTGTTGACAGAAATATGCAATCTGATGGTTGCTGTTGGTTGATTTTTTCCCGTAAATGCTTCAGGTACTTCACAGTTTTATTCAAACTATGCCACGGCAGCCTGTAAATGATGACTTCATGGTGACGAGCAATCAGATCAGTCACCGAGTTTGTCCACAATCCAATCCAAACTTGTGCTGGAGACTGATGGAATCTATTTGATCTCTTCCTGTCCTTAGTTATAATAGCGACAACCAGGACGACAGGAGGTAAATATATACAAAACATTTTCATACTTACTGTCAACAATTTCTCTTAAACCTGTGCACGTCAAACGAATGTGTTCATTAAGACATAGAAAAGCCAGCTCCACAGATCCGAAATGTTTTTCCGTAACATTCAAGTTGACGACAAAGGTCTTGTCTGATATATATCCATCATTGCCAAACGATGTCTCTGTTACATCCCCGATTTGTAGTGTGAAGCTTGAATTCCGAGAACAGTAATAGTCAGCTATGTTCACCGAGAGAACCAGTTGATCATTCAGCGCTAGCATGTCAGCATCATTATCATTGGTGATGTTGCATGATGGAGTTTCTGCACGGGGAATAAAGAATACTCGTGAAAGTGATAGTTTCACTAGACAAGGCAATTTCATTGAGTAAGATGTTATCTTTATCATTATATATGTGCCATTGTCATGGTCATTAGATTTAATAAATGTCCCTTGAATGATACGTTCTACTATCATTAAGCCAGCATGCCAGCTGAAACCTGAAATATTTTTCAAAGCGTCATGTAACCAACCTCATTCACTCACTATACCTGTAGATAACTTTGGCTATTCATTGATATGGACCCGTTAATATCCGGGTAAGAACAGATTTCCAGCAATCCACGCTTGCCGTAATTGGAGACTGTGCTTGTCGTAAGAGTCGACTAACGGGAATGGGTGGTCAGGCCCACTGATCTGATTGATGCATGTCATCGTATCCCAATTGCATAGATCGATGCTCATGATGTCAATCACTGGCTTGGCTGGTCCAGAATCGATTATTTACAGACCGCCGTCATATAGCTGGAATATTGCCGAGTGCGACGTTAAACAACAAACAAACAAAACATTGATCATATCTTATTGGTAGATTCAATCGTATATGGATGTTATTGGTAGATTCTATCATTCAATTACTGTGTGGAGTAGAGATGTTGAGATAAAGGTTGAAACAAGATGCGCCATCATAGAGCCATTACTCATGTATATGTAAGGTCCTGCAACATCATTAAGACATGCAAGCATAATCCTGAATCTGAGACTACCAACGCCATCAAAGATGTTGTCTCTGGTCTATCATGCAACGGTATTTCAGTATGCAACAGCAGGTCAGCTTAATGGCATGTAACGCCCAATAGTACGTACGGATATGAATATGTCATCATGATCTCACTTTTTTTAAAGTAAACTTATATTTTCTGTGAAATCCAATGCTACTCACTGTAACCCTCTATTTTACATTGTGATCCATTACGGCTCTTGCAAGTCCATGTTCCGATATCTTTCTCACCTACTTCCAGAATCTTTAGCTCAGTGTGGCTAGAATTACGCGAAACTGTATATCCATCGAGGCCGTCACAGCCATACCGATTGCAATTGCTAGCTACTACATTATCATGCCTTGTCCATGAAACTAAGGACTTGTTTGACTGTGTCCCAAAGTAAATTAAACGTGCTGAAGAACCAAGTTCCACTAATGTTGGGCAATCCAACTTGAGTGAGCTGACACCTGTGTTGAAGGAAACAAGTCGTCAATAACATAAGGATCTCGGACAATGTACTATACAGTAAACTACGTTTATAACGAGCACGCTTATAATGAACCGACGGATATAACGATCTTAAGTTTAGGTCCCGGCAATTTGCTGTTTATATGCTGTATACATTGTATATTATGGTTAATAGAACTATTGTTAAAACGTAATAATATTAGTGGTCCCTTTGATCTCGTTATAACCGTAGTTTACTGTATTTAAGAAATAAACGACGAGTTGGCGTTGTTTGTCGTACAATAAAACACTGCAGGGGGAACAAACCATTAAACATAAACCAGTGGCGTTCATTCTCCCTGCTGTGGTTTATTGTACAACGACCACGAGTCGTTTATTTCTTAAATGATCATGAGATATCAACATTATATACAGTCTCTTTAAGGATGATGATGAAATGTACAAGCTTTAAAACTTATTACCCGTATTTTAATAACGATGACTCCCTCAATAGAGTCCGTTTTACGCACGGGTGAGTTTTCCCCGCACAATCTCACAATCCTTACGTCGATTGCCTGTACCTTTTTTCCCAATGACGATTGACATATCTCTCCCGCTTTTGGATGCGATCGTTCGGCCATCGCGTTTCTCTGCGTTGCCCAGATACACCTATGGTGATATCTCACTCTACACTCCCCTCTCAAAAATAACGGCTTTCAGTAAAACCTTATTTTAATAAGTAATGTCACACAGCAAGAGTTTGAAAATGACAAGCACTGATTATACTGCTATTAAAACTAGGGGGCACGGGCGGCCCAGTCGTCCAAGGCGCCGCATTTCGTTGTGCAGAGTTGCGTCCTTGGGCACGCCAGAAATCTATGATTCGCCCCGATTATGTTTCTAGGATTCTCAGCACTATACCCGTGCTCGTGGGTTTCACGTCTAAGACCTTCATCACATGGGGCTGTCCTCCCACATTAAATTGACACGCCGTGATATGACTGGAATACTGTTAAAACACAACTCACTCACTCACTATTAAAACTAAAACAAGAAACTCAAACTAACCTTGAAGAAGACAAACTAAACTGAGCATGAGTTTCATTATCTTCTCTTGTTGATGATTCCACTGACTTGACATCCGTCGCTGCATGTAGATCACAAAACATTACTCAAAGACAAACGCTATTGTGGCGTTGACGTTGAATGGAACGCAATACCTCACGTTAACATTGTGAATATTTTAAAGTTTAGGTGAAGGTACGCTGATGGGATATACTGTCTCTCTAGCAGTCTATGTAAACATGATGTAACTTCATAAATCCGGCTGCGTCATATCAAAAGAGGTTAAAAGATGGTACTTGTTACCCTGCCTTGCGCTCGGCATTAATGGGATAAAAGAAGGACTGGTAGGCTTGGAGTTAGTATACTGTGTCTGAGTGAGGTATTCATGTTAAACTGCGGCATGGTATATCAGTGGGCTAGCACTATGAATCGACATCAGTCCGGACTAGAACAAGCAGCCACACACACACGTGCATGCACGTCGCTATATAAGTGCAATAATCTTGGACGCGACGTCAAACCCCATTTCTCCTCATCACACTCCACTGACTGTATTAGAGGTCATTTATAATACATTCAGCAATGGCAATAAATTCATAAATAGGTTTTCCTTCCCAAACTATACAGGTGGCCCGTCAATAATTGTGCTAGGCATACAGCAGATAAAGTAACTTTTAACACACCACAAATGCACAAAGCTTATTCTTGATGTATTGGTTTATGCTAAGACTGTCAGCAGGAAAATATGTGTTGTATTATCATGATGTATTACCAAACTTATTTTTATGAATGTTCAGCTGATGTCCGTTAATGCTAACCACGCTTGTAGTTGTGTTAATTTGCCTAGATATAACATAAAATAATGATGTTGTGATTCACAATAGGGGTTTAAGTACTATAATGCCCATTGATTGTTGCTATTTTCATAATGTCTGTTTCTGCACTAACATTCGTTGGTTATATTAATGTACAGCTGGTGTCCGTCGATGCTTGAACATTGACATCGACTTTATACCACGTTATAGGTGTGTAAATTTGCCTAGTTGTAACATGAAATAACATTGTTGTTATTCACCGTAGTACTATAATACATAGTGATTGTTTCTATTCTGTTATTGTTCTAAACAATCGTTGTTTCCATTGTAGCGATATACTCTTCTTTGGTTAAATTGTTTCTTGAAAATGTTGTGCAGAGTTGCCTCCTTTGGGCACGCTAGTCACCTATGATTGCGGGTTCGAAACCCAGTTCGCCCCGATAATGTTTCCGGGTTTGTCAGCACCATACCCGTGCTCGTGGGTTTTACCAAAGTGGTAGAGCATCACTTCGGCCTTTCTTCCCATGAAACGCCGTAATATGACTTGAATACTGTTCAAAGCTTAAGCGGCGTAAAACTCAACTCACTCACTCTGTTGATTATGTACAATACATTTATGCCAACATTTCTAAGTTCATATTATTAAATGTACACTCAAATGTCAACTACTTACCTCGCTGAGCACCCTTACAGTGCGAAATGATTACGACTAATGCGCCGTTCGTAAAACCCACAACATATACCTACATTTTTTCCTGTTATATATCAAAGCACATCAAAGGGCTTTTCAGTGCATTTAAACGCATGTCATTGTGTAAATATACACTCCATCACTACTTCCCTATCCGCCTGTTTCCTCCATACTGTTAGCCATGCAATGTCCTGCGCATTGACAATTTGGATTTCCCAAAAAGTCAAACGCCTTTTTCCTCATGGCATTTATTGTCATTAAGCCAAGAATCCCATGCAAGGAGGACGTGGTCCATAAACCTCTGAACTACTCTGTGTTTCTTAGGATATCTGTCATGAGCCGAATCAGCCGAACACAGAATGCTACTCGACTTCGACATGGTCCACTCTTGGTTTAATGTGCACGGAGACACGTGAGTGGAGCGGTGGTAGATGTGCCAAACCCATCCCAATGCTTCACCTGTTGCTGAAAGCTGCTTGCAATAATGAGTTTGAAATGTGCAAACTGCTACGGCGATATTGTTGATTCATCAAAATCTTGCTCTATATATGACCATGAATCTAAAATATATCATAAAAAGAAGCCAATGAAAATAGTTCAACCTCCTCCCCTACGTGTTCTGCTACATTCTCTTCTCCAGCTTCTGTTAATAACGTAACCACAGTTTCAAAACTTGTCAGGCAACATTGTCTTGGGTGTACCTGATCATCTTAGATGATAACTCTCAAATCAGCCAAAACGTCTCAAATATTGTATCTTCAGCTTCCCAGAAGTCACACAACGATAACATTAATTACACCAGTTCGGGGCGCTCAACCATTTGGAGGATCCTGCTTCTTTATACCGAGTGTGTCCGTGAGTTGTGTTTAACGCCGCTTTGGACAGTATTCTTCTTTAACACTGACTGTCAATAGATGTAAATCTACCAACCAGCTTAGCCGACAAAAGCGTCAATAACACTATGCAGTGGAATTGTAGAGTACTGCGAGATAAAGTCATTTGTGCAAATTGTAATATATAACTTTTTCATCATCAATACATAACGCGACAAACACCATCCCCGTCATCAGTGTATCTTGTAATATACAACATCCCCGTCATCAGTGCATATAGTAATATACAACATCCCCGTCATCAGTGTAGATTGTAATGTGTAACATCCCCGTCATAAGTGCATATAGTTATATACACCATCCCTGTCATCAGTGTATCTTGTAATATACCACATTCCCGTCATCTGTGTAGATTGTAATATATTCAACATCCCCGTCATCAGTGTAGATTAATATAAAGCATCCCCGTCATCAGTGTAGATTGTAATGTATAACATCCCCGTCATAAGTGCATATAGTTATATGCACTACCCCCGTCGTCAGTGTATCTTGTAATATAAAACTTCCCCGTCATCAGTGTATCTTGTAAAATACAACATCCCCGTCATCAGTGTATCTTGTAATACACAACATCCCCGTCATCAGTGTATCTTGTAATATACAACATCCCCGTCATCTGTGTATCTTGTTATATACAACATCTCCGTCATCAGTGTATCATGTAAAATACAACATCCCCGTCATCAGTGCATATAGTAATATACAACATCCCCGTCATCAGTGTAGATTGTAATATACAACATCCCCGTAATCAGTGTATCTTGTAATACACAACATCCCCGTCATCAGTGTATCTTGTAATATACAACATCCCCGTCATAAGTGTATCATGTAATATACAACATCTCCGTCATCAGTGTATCTTGTAATATACAACATCTCTGTCATCAGTGTAACATACGACTGTAAGACAAGTAGCCAAATTTGGATTTTGTTAATAAATGGTATCTGTCCGTATGTTTGTCTTCTTCTGTGAAATATTAACATCTAAAAATAATATGAAATTCATCTCCGATATCATCTGTTACATAGTTTACATTTTCTGTCATATGTTAATAGTTATTTTAAATTTTCATTCTTTTTCAATCAGCAAGTAGTTGCGAATCAAATTGGTGTAATAAAAACGTTGTCTTAAAGCGACTGCAGTTGAAATCCCAACAGTATCAGATGTACTCTTATTGTATTATTGTATTGTATTGTATTATGCATCGTGAATCGCCACTGAGAAATGTGAACTCTCACGTCTAAACAGTGCAGTCATATGCCGCAAACGATAACATTATATCGTATGACTACTACTGAAATTGCAACCACGTGATCGGGAAAATGATAACGGGATCTCGCTCTGTGATATATCCAGTTACGTTCATGTGTGAGTCACGAGTGAAAAACAACAACATAAACTCATTTAAAATATTCAACACTGTTTTTACGTATCTGTCATTTTCTGTATGGATTTGAGCGACGTGTTATCGTCTGTAAAATCGACATATTGTGTTCATTCGTGTTTATCGGGACCACAGATGAATGTGTCACCACGTGATCAGGAAAATATATCATGAGAGATCATGTATATATATGCTGGTATCAATTTCCATGTGATATTTATGCCATGCCCCGCTATAGCGCGACAGGAGGACACCACCAGTGTTTAAAACACACAAGGACATTGAAGTCCCGGCTACATCACATATTGAAATAAGGACGATAGTCCATACTCATGCTGGTGTTATAGTGCTAGCCCACTAAGACACCATGCTGCAGTGAAACATGGTTACCCTACTCAGACACAGTATACTGACACCGAGGCGATCAGTCCTTGTCTAAGCCCCTTAATGCCGAGGGCAAGCCAGGGTAACAACAAGTACCATATTTTTACATCTATGGATATGGCGCGGCCAGAGGATCGAGATTCCGACCTTCCGCTATCTTCACACAGTTTGAACCAATTCATTATCAATGACTATCATTCTAAGACATTGGGAACTCTAATTAGTTGTGCTATGCTGTTATTATTTTATCCTTTACATATTCAAGTATATATTCGCATATATGAAGTGCCTGATAACTCGTTTACAAAGCGATAGTATTCTGGTCAGCGTGTTCACTCGTCACGTCCAATAATCAGTTACATTTGGAAATTTACAGTGGGTGTAGTTCATTTTTTGTGGACGAATATTTCTAAAAGCGGCTTCAACCTCACACACTCACCAATGTACTAATGATATTCATGTTCGTAATATTTAATACGGAAATTGTTTGGACGTATTTTTGCATAAGGCGGCCTGGGATCGAACCACCTTCATTCCGCTTTTCTACAGTGCCACACGGACTTAGTGTTTCTGTTTATGTCGTAAAATGATTATACACAAGCAATTGCGCTATAAGGAATATTATTCATTAATGCATAACCACATTGACTGTATAACTGTGCATAAGGAAGTTATAAATATCTCAACTACAGCCTGTGATATAAGCCTTGGCGATCAATATAACAGTGAGTGGAAACATTGGGCCATGTGAAGAAACACACACACAGCATTACTCTGAAACTGCTAATAATTACATTTAGTACTAACTACTAAATGACTTTATCGCGCCAGGACATGGTACGCCTGATAAAGGACTGTGTGTGTTTACGGACAATTTATTGCATGCCCTGGCGCTTGTTTTGCGCCAGTAAATGGATGTTATCTCCACAGGTTAGTGTTTCCTTTCAGTACATAGGCAAGCTGGGCAACAATGCTATCTCCGCGTATCGCGTGGCCGTGGGTGTGGGGTAGCACTCTGGTGCTTTGTGGCGGGGTTCTTGTGGGCTACACTGCTAGTAACAAATTAACTTGCTTCCAAATTAATACTCGTGCTTAAGGCTATCTGCTTTTCAGCGGGAACCTTTCGTGGTTACGTGCTTCTCAGTGGGAACCTTGTCTTTCCCGACTTTTCAGCCGGGGAATCGTAAAATAACACAAGTTGGGGCAAACAATTGCCACGTATATGGGCCCGGCGGCGGTAGTCTGACTTAGGCCAGCAGCGGTAGCTGCTTTTGGCAGCATGGTAGTTGTCAGGCAATGGTAGCTAATCATGAAAGCAAAGTGTTGATTATAGCAAGTATCCATACTACACTAAGCAAATATATAATTTTCTCGCAAACACGGCAAATGTGAGAGAAAGAGACTGGTCCTTGTTTAAAGGAATGTCAATTACTCATGTGGGGTTGCTATTTTAAACAGACTGCATGGTTTAGGCGATAGTACAATAGTGAAAATTCAGTATCAAAGGAAATCTAGCTCTTGATTAGTTCCAGTGCCCGTTCTTCAATGCATAAAGTTCTAATGGTATGTTACGTGGTTAATGGTTATAGATATATTGGCAATACCCGTTCGTGAAGATATATTGTTCTGAATAAGGGGACACGATGCTCTGAAAAATGACAAAGGTCGAAATATGACGACTAGAAAGAGACTGGAATTAGCCGCGAGGGTGGTCCCTCTTTGGAGCACATTGGAATTACCTTATGTAAATGTTAATGTTTGTTATAATACAATGCATGGTATTGGCAATAGCGAGAATTCAATATCAATTGAGTTTATATGAGGTTCTAAAAATATTTTTCGTGGTGAATGAGTGTCTTGTGTAGAACAGTTATTTCACAGGCAGAAAATCCTGTTCGCTGTGTCATATAGCGAGAATGTCCAACTGACAGACACTGTCGGACACCCAGCCATCGAACTGTACACAAGAGGAAAACCCAAGCTACAGATTTAACTGAAGGTTTTTTTCATAAAGTAACCAAGTACGCCTGTTACCACAGATGCTGTTGTTGAATGGATAACTATTATTTCTGTAGTATGTATAAACTCGGCATTTGCAATAGTTATGCTTGGTTTCACTCATATACACTTGGCAGTATAACGGGGTAAATCGTGAAAAGGAATTAACACCGTAACGCCCAAATACACCAGCACAATAGGCCCTTTTGATAGTTACATCACTTCAGCATCATGGCCCTTGATAAGGTGTGGCGGGTAGGCTTATTTTGACTTCTTGAATAATAACGATAACAGTAACAAAGTTTATTTTATAGTACTATATACAGTAAGTACTACAGAAATTCAATTCATAATTCCTACATATTGACATATTACTGACATTACATTATTTTATGATACTGTACAGTGACGTAGTACCGATATGGCGTATATTTTACAATGACGTAGTTCTAATGTAACTTTACATAATAATATGATATACACTTAACAATGACGTAATACTTATATGACGCATGTTTTACAATGTTGTCTTTTGGTTGAACTCAGCTATTTTTCATCTACATGACGGCTGCGTGTAAATATTTGAGCCTGGACCAGACAATCCAGTGATTGATATTGTGAGCAGCGATCAAGTTTACAGGATATACAGCTTTTCCATTGGACGAGAGGTCAGTCACATGACCGTAAAATTGACGTTGATGATAAGTGTTTGAACGACATAATTTATATCTAATTTACACACACTTATAAATGTGACAAAAACAATGGATACTTAAGGTCCAAATAACAACCCGTTGGTTTGAGAAAATAATTATGTGAAGAAGGGAAAACCTTTAAAATCTGTTATGAAAACACGGAGAGACAGTCAACATAAAAAATCGTTTATTGGGAGCGGCACAGAGATATGGTTACCGAAACTAACCCCTTTATCCCTTTGACTTTTGAGGCCAACAGCATAATACCGTCATGGTGTTTGGATACGTGTATATTTACACAGTGTACTTAAGTGGATATGACATTATAGATATTGTCTCCCTCAACAGGAGTTAGGTACAAAGTGTTGTATTCATGTCCAGATGTTTCATCCGTTTGTCCATCAACGTCATGAGGAGAATCGTACACATTTCTACCACTGTGTGTTTCTGGCCGTTTTGATTGTTTAATCTGCACCAGAACGACCACCAGCACGATGTTGATTGTGACAGCCACGCTTCCTGCAACGACAGCGCCTACCGTGGCCCCAATACTAATGCTTGCCCTGATTCTTAGATCTGCCATCACTTCTTCCATCTGCCGTTCTGAAAGTGTGAAGTGTGTTAGCAAACAATTGCAATATCGCCTTACCGAGGACAATATATTTCATAGAATACCGAAAGATTCATATTTGCAAACTAGAATTTACACCATAATACTGAACTTGCTGTTACATACAGACAAGGATGTCCAAGCAATAGACAGTAACAGTAGCATATGTTAGTATGTGTTGACTGAATTATGCAATCCTTTAGTTGCTGTTAGTTGAATTAGCTGTAAATGCTTCAGGTACTTTACAGTATTATTCAAGCTATGCCACGGCATCCTGTAAATGATGACTTCATGGTGACGAGCAATCAGATCAGTCACCGAGTTAGTCCACAATCCAATTAAATCGCCTCTTACGACAAGCACACTTGTGCTGAAGACTGATGGAATCTATTTGATTTCTTCCTGTCATCAGTAATATTAACGATAACCAGGACGACAGGAGGTAAATATGTACAAAACATTTTCATACTTACTGTGAACAATTTCTCTTAAACCTGTGCACGTCAAAGGAATGTCTTTATTAAGACATAGAAATGCCAGTTCCACAGATACGAAATGTCTTTCCGTAATATTCAAGTTGACGACAAAGGTCGTGTCCGTTATATTTCCATCAGTGCCAAACGATGTCTCTGTTACATTCCCGATTTGTAGTGTGAAGTTTGAACCCCGAGAACAGTAATAGTCAGCTATGTTCACCAAGAGAACCAGTTGATCATTCAGCGCAAGCATGTCGGCATCAGCGTCATTGGTTATGTTGCATGATGGAGTTTCTGCACGGTTAATAAAGAATACTCGTTGAAGTGATAGTTTCACTAGACAAGGAAATTTATTTCACTGAGTAAGATGCTGTCCTATATATATATATATATATATATATACGTATATCACATTATATATGTGCCATTGTCATGGTCATTAAATTTAATTAATGTCCCTTGAATAATACGTTCAACTATCATTAAGCCAGCATGCCAGCTAAAACCTGATATATTGTTCAAAGCGTCATGCAACCAGCCTCATTCACTCACTATACCTGTAGATAACTTTGGCTATTCATTGATATGGACCCGTTAAAATCCGGGTAAGAACAGATTTTCGGCAATCCACGCTTGCCGTTATTGGAGACTGTGCTTGTCGTAAGAGTCGACTAACGGGAATGGGTGATCTGGCTCACTGATCTGATTGATGCATGTCATCGTATCCCAATTGCGTAGATCGATGCTCATGATGTCAATCACTGGCTTGGCTGGTCCAGAATCGATTATTTACAGACCGCCGTCATATAGCTGGAATATTGCCGAGTGCGACGTTAAACAACAAACAAACAAAACATTGATCATATCTTATTGGTAGATTCAATCGTATATGGATGTCATTGGTAGATTCTATCATTCTATTACTGTGTGGAGTAGAGATGTTGAGATAATGGTTGAAACAAGATGCGCCATCATAGAGCCATTACTCATGTATATGTAAGGTCCTGCAACATCATTAAGACATGCAAGCATAATCCTGAATCTGAGACTACCAACGCCATCACAGATGTTGTCTCTGGTCTATCATGCAACGATATTTCAGTATGCAACAGCCGGTCAGCTTAATGGCATGTAACGCCCAATAGTACGTCCGGATATGAATATGTCATCATGATCTCACTTTTTTTAAAGTAAACTTATATTTTCTGTGAAATCAAATGCTACTCACTGTAACCCTCCACTGTACACTGTAATCCAGTACGGGTGCTGCGAGTCCAATTGCCGATATCTTTCTCACCTACTTCCAGTATCTTCAGCTCAGTGTGGCTAGAATTACGCGAAACTGTATATCCTTTGAGGCCGTCACAGCCATACCGATTGCAAGTGCTAACTACTGCATTATCAGGCCTTGTCCATGAAACTAAGGTCTTGTTAGACTGTGTCCCAAAGTAAATTAAACGTGCTGAAGAACCAAGTTCCACAAATGTTGGGCAATTCAACCTGAGTGAGCTGACACCTGTGTTGAAAAAAAACAAGTCGTCAATAACATAAGGACCTCTGATAATGTACTATACAGTAAACAACGTTTATAACGAACACGCTTATAATGAATCGATGGAGATAACGAACTTAAGTTTAGGTCCCGGCCATTTGCTGTTTATATGCTGTATATATGCTTATAACGAAATATGGTTATAACGAACTAATATAAGGGTGTCCTTTGAGTTTGTTATAACCGTAGTTTACTGTATTTAAGAATTAACCGACGAGTGGGCGTTGTTTGTCGTACAATAAAACACTGCAGGGAGAATTAACCATAAGTGGAGTTCATTCTCCCTGCTATGGTTTATTGCAGAACGACCACACGTCTTTTTTTTTGATATGAGATATCAACATTATGTACAGTCTCTTTGAGGATGATGATGAAATGTACAAACTTTAAAACTTATTACCCGTATTTTAATAATGATGACTCCCTCAATAGAGTCCATTTTACGCACGGGTGGGTATTTGCCGCATATTCTCACAATCCTTACGTCGATTGCCTGTACCTTTTCTTCCAATGACGATTGTCATATATCTCCCGCTTTTGGATGCGATCGTTCGGCCATCGCGTTTCTCTGCGTTGCCCAGCTACACCTATGGGGATATCTCACTCTACACTCCCCTCTCAAAAATGACGGCTTTTAGTAAAACCTTATTTTAACAAGTAATGTCACACAGCAAGAGTTTGAAAATGACACGCACTGATTATACAACAACGTCATTCAAGATCAACTTGATCATGAATTATCTATTTTGTTCGAAGGCACATGCGAACATATGTTGCTATAAAAACTAGGGGGCACGGGCGGCCCAGTCGTCCAAGGCGCCGCATTTCGTTGTGCAGAGTTCCGTCCCTTGGGCACGCCAGAAACCTATGATTCGCCCCGATTATGTTTCTAGGATTCTCAGTACTATACCCGTGCTCGTGGGTTTCACGTCTAAGACCTTCATCACATGGGGCTTTCCTCCTACATTAAGTTGACACGCCGTGATATGACTGGAATACTGTTAAAAGTGGTGTTAAACACAACTCTCTCACTCGCTATTAAAACTAAAACAAGAAACTCAAACTAACCTTGAAGAAGACAAACTAAACTGAGCACGAGTTTCATTATCTTCTCTTGTTGATAATTCCACTGACTTGACATCCGTCGCAGCCTGTAGATCACAAAACATTACTCAAAGACAAACGCTATTTTGGCGTTGACGTTGAATGGAACGCCATACCTCACGTTAACATTGTGAATTTTAGGTGAAGGTACGCTGATGGGATATACTGTCTCTCTAGCAGTCTATGTAAACATGATGTAACTTCATAAATCCGGCTGCGTCATATCAAAAGACGTTAAAAGATGTTACTTCCTGTTACCCTGCCTTGCGCTCGGCATTATTTGGATAAAAGAAGGACTGGTAGGCTTGGAGTTAGTATACTGTGTCTGAGTGAGGTATTCATGTTAAACTGCGGCATGGTATATCAGTGAGCTAGCACTATAAATCGGCATCAGTCCGGACTAGTACAAGCAGCCACACACACACATGTGCATGCACGTCGCTATATAAGTGCAATAATCTTGGACGCGACGTCAAACCCCATTTCTCCTCATCACACTCCACTGACTGTATTAGAGGTCATTTATAATACATTCAGCAATGGCAATAAATTCATAAATAGGTTTTCCTTCCCAAACTATACAGGTGGCCCGTCAATAACTGTGCTAGGCATACAGCAGATAAAGTAACTTTTAATACACCACAAATGCACAAAGCTTATTCTTGATGTATTGGTTTATGCTAAGACTGTCAGCAGGAAAATATGTGTTGTATTATCATGATGTATTACCAAACTTATTTTTAGGAATGTTCAGCTGATGTCCGTTGATGCTAGAACATTCCACCTCAAACCACGCTTGTAGTTGTGTTAATTTGCCTAGATATAACATAAAATAATGATGTTGTAATTCACAATAGGGGTTTAAGTACTATAATGCCCATTGATTGTTGCTATTTTCATAATGTCTGTTTCTACACTAACATTCGTTGCTTATATTAATGTACAGCTGGTGTCCGTCGATGCTTGAACATTGACATCGACTTTATACCACGTTATAGGTGTGTAAATTTGCCTAGTTGTAACATGAAATAACATTGTTGTTATTCACCGTAGTACTATAATACATAGTGATTGTTTCTATTCTGTTATTGTTCTAAACAATCGTTGTTTCCATTGTAGCGATATACTCTTCTTTGGTTAAATTGTTTCTTGAACATGTTGTGCAGAGTTGCCTCCCTTGAGCACGCTAGTCACCTATGATTGCGGGTTCGAAACCCAGTTCGCCCCGATAATGTTTCCGGGTTTGTCAGCACCATACCCGTGCTCGTGGGTTTCACCAAAGTGGTAAAGCATCACTTCGGCCTTTCTTCCCATGAAACGCCGTAATATGACTTGAATACTGTTTAAAGCTTAAGCGGCGAAAAACTCAACTCACTCACTCGCTTGATTATGTACAATACATTTATGCCAAACATTGCTAAGTACATATTATTAAATGTTAAATTAATTATTAACTCCATTACTACTTCCCTATCAATCTGTTTCCTCCATACTGTTAGCCACGCAATGTCCTGTGCATTTGCCAAACATTTCTAAGTACGTATTATTAAATGTAGACTCAAATATCAACTACTTACCTCGCTGAGCATCCTAACAGTGTACTAAAATGAACTAAATGTGTACTACTAATACACCGTTTATAAAACCCACAACATATACCTACATTTTATCCTGGTCTGTATCAAGGCGCATCATAGGTCTTTTCAGTGCATTTAAAAGCATATCTGTGTGTAAATATACACTCCATCACTACTTCCCTATCCGCCTGTTTCCTCAACACCTTTTCCTCATGGCATTTTTTGTCATTTAGCCAAGAGTCCCATTGCAAGGAGGACGTGGTCCATGGACCTCTGAACTCTGTGTTTCTTAAGCTATCTGTCATGGGCCGAACCAGCCGAACACAGAATGCCACTCGACTTCGAAATGGTCCACTCTTGGTTTAATGTGCACGGAGACACGTGAGTGGAGTGGTGGTAGATGTGCCAAACCCATCCCAATGCTTCAGCTGTTGCTGAAAGCTGCTTGCAATAATGAGTTTGAAATGTGCAAACTGCGACGGCGATATTTCTGATTCATCAAAATCTTGCTCTATATATGACCATGAATCCAAAATATATCATAAAAAGAAGCCAAAGAAAATAGTTCAACCTCATCCCCTGTTCTGCTACAGTCTTTTCTTCAGCTTCTGTTAATAACGTAGCCACAGTTTCAAAACATTGTCAGGCAACATTGTCTTGGGTGTACCTGATCATCTTAGATGATAACTCTCAAATCAGCCAAAACGTCTCAAATATATATTGTATCTTCAGCTTCCCAGAAGTCACTCAACCATAACATCAATTACACCAGTTCGAGGCGCTCAACCATTTGGAGGATCCTGCTTCTTTTATACCGAGTGTGTCCGTGAGTTGTGTTTAACGCCGCTTTGGACAGTATTCTTCTTTAACACTGACTGTCAATAGATGTAAATCTACCAACCAGCTTAGCCGACATAAGCGTCAATCACACGATGCAGGGGAATTGTAGAGTACTGCGGGATAAAGTCATTTGTGCAAATTGTAATATATAACTTCTTCATCATCAATACATAACGGGACAAACACCATCCCCGTCATCAGTGCATATAGTAATATACAACATCCCCGTCATCAGTGTAGATTGTAATGTGTAACATCCCCGTCATAAGTGCATATAGTTATATACACCATCCCTGTCACCAGTGTATCTTGTAATATAAAACATCCCCGTCACCTGTGTAGATTGTAATATACAACATCCCCGTCATCAGTGTAGATTGTAACATACACATTCCCGTCATCTGTGTAGATTGTAATATACAACATCCCCGTCATCAGTGTAGATTGTAATATACAACATCCCCGTCATCAGTGTAGATTGTAACATACCACATTCCCGTCATCTGTGTAGATTGTAATATACAACATCCCCGTCATCAGTGTAGATTAATATAAAGCATCCCCGTCATCAGTGTAGATTGTACTGTGTAACATCCCCGTCATAAGTGCATATAGTTATATGCACTACCCCTGTCATCAGTGTATCTTGTAATGTACAACATCCCCGTCGTCAGTGCATATAGATATCTACAACATCCCCGTCATCAGTGTATCTTGTAATGTACAACATCCCCGTCGTCAGTGTATCTTGTAATATAAAACACCCCGTCATCAGTGTAGATTGTTATATACAACATCCCCGTCATCAGTGCATATAGTTATATACAACATCCCCGTCATCAGTGTATCTTGTACTATACAACATCCCCGTCATCAGCGCATATAGTTATATACAATATCCCCGTCATCAGTGCATATAGATATATACAACATCCCCGTCATCAGTGTATCTTGTGATATACAACATCCCCGTCATCAGTGTATCTTGTCATATACAACATCCCCGTCATCAGTGCATATAGTTATATACAACATCCCCGCCATCAGTGCATATAGTTATATACAACATCCCCGTCATACGTGTCTATTGTAATATACATCACCCCCGACATCAGTGCACATTCTAATAGACAACATCTCTGTCATCAGTGTAACATACGACTGTAAGATAAGTAGCCAAATTTGGATTTTGTTAATAAATGGTATCTGTCCGGATGTTTGTCGTGACCTTTCTTCTGTGAAATATTAACATTAACATTTTAAATTTTCATTCTTTTTCAATCAGCAGGTAGTTGCAATAGTAGTAGTAATCTTATTGTCAAATCAAATTACACAAATTTCAGATAG